CATTCTCAAACTCATCCACTAACCTTTGCAATTTTTCTTTAGAATCCCCATAAGCACAGTATCACAGCAAAAAGAACTGGTCAATTCCATTTTGAATTTGATTCCCCATAATTTAATCCTACCCCTCTCCCGAACACCCTAGCATTTACTTCTTTTACAAACCCCATCTATAAATATATTAAACAACAATGGTGACATTACACATCCCGTCTAAGACCTACTTTTACCGGGAAGTATTCTCCCTCTCTTCTACACACCCTAACCTGAGCCCCACTATCCTCATAAAAAACTCTTTACAGCATTTAGTAACTTAACCACCTATTCCATAAACTTGCAAAAATCTGCCACATTGCTCCTCTATCCACTCTATCATATGCCTTTTCTAAATCCATAAATGCAAAAAAAACTTCCCTACCTTTATCTAAATACTGTTCACATATATGCTTCAATGTAAAAACTTGAAACTACACATCCCCTACCCACTCTGAAGCCTCCTTGCTCATCCGCAATTCTACATTCTGTCTTACCTCTAATTCTTTCAATTATAACCCTACCGTATACTTTTCGTGGTATACCCCAGTAAACTTATTCCTCTATAAATTTTACAATCTCTTTTGTCCCCTTTCCCTTTATATAAAGGACTATACATGCTCTCTGCCAATCCCTAGGTACCTTCCCCTCTTTCATATATTTATTAAAACAAAAGTACCAACCACTCCAACACTATATCCCCCCCGCTTTTAACATTTCTGTCATGATCCCATCAGTTCCAGCTGCTTTACCCCCTTTCATTCTACGTAATGCCTCACGTACCTCCACCACACTTACATTCTGCTCTTCTTCACTCCTAAAAGATGGTATACCTCCCTGGCCAGCGCATGAAATTACCACCTCCCTTTCTTCCTCAACATTTAAAAGTTCCTCAAAATATTCTCGCCATCTACCTAATACAGGAGGGCCCTACTTATACGGCAGGTTAGGTTCCAGGCTACTGCCGTAAAGCGGAAACCGCCATAAAGTGGAACCCCCTTTTTTTTTCCACTTATAAAGCAAAAAAACACTAGAAAAAAATTTTTACACTAACATATATTAAGTTAGCAAAGAACCAGGCATCAAAAAACAATAAAAAAGTACAATACACACATAGTGCACTCATTACTTACCTTAAAATATTTATAGTCTTAATCTAGGGTGAGACAAGTAGTATTTTTTGTAAAAATAAAGTGTGGTATGTAGGGTAATACCCGGGTACCTTACCAGGCCACCCCACCCAACATACTTTTCTAATTTTAAGCATCCCAGAGCGATAAAATTTATACAGTTCACTATTACTTCCCAAAAATATTTGAGTCTTAATGTAGGGTCAGGAGTAAGAAAATGGAAAAAAACAAAAAAATGAGAAGAGAAAGAATGAGTACATGAGAGGGGACCCGGGCAGAGTTATGTAAACAAACCAGGGAACGTAAGTTTTGAAACCCCCCCTGTACACGTCTGGTTTGTGTACAAGTTACATTGTGCGGTTGTCTCACATTTATAGGTAAATTTAAAAAAGAAGAACACTCCCATTCATGTAACATCATTTGAGAAAAAATGAAGCCTGAGTGAAGGGAAAAGGGAAAAAAGTACACTGATTTTTTGGGTTATCCAGGTTCTCTACACGTATGTTTTTAGTAGAAATCAGTAACTGTATTTGTGTTTCCCGAAAAAACTTACAACATACAAAGGAATAAAATTTTACAGTTTCCCCCCGTAACACATTTTCTCTTATGTTAATTAGAAAAAATGTTATTCGGGGGACTTGTACAAGTTTTGTGGCCCCACATCTTTAATTTTTGTTTTTTTATTCTATTGTGGGGTGTATTTTTCATCTTTTTATGTTATGTAGTGTTTTTTTATGTTTTGAAAAAAAATATCATGGGTGGATTAATGAAAATGTGTATATTAACGTAATATACGACATTTAATGAGACTCGGTGAGTATTGTTATTTTTTATTATTTCTAATATGGCGTCACTTGTGCAAGTCGTCTGCTACCACATCTCACATTTTTTTTTTTTTTTTTTTTCAACAAGTCGGCCGTCTCCCACCGAGGCAGGGTGACCCAAAAAAGAAAGAAAATCCCCAAAAAGAAAATACTTTCATCATCATTCAACACTTTCACCACACTCGCACATTATCACTTTTTTTGCAGAGGTGTCAGAATACAACAGTCTAGAAGCATACACATATAAAGATACACAACATATCCTCCAAACTCCCCAATATCCCAAACCCCTCCTTTAAAGTGCAGCATTGTACTTCCATTTCCCAGGACTCACATTTATGTTTATTTATTCTAACTGTGGGGTTATTTATCTTATTTATATGTTATGAAATCGTGTTTTATTATATAATTTTGAAAAAAATATCATGGATGGATTAATGAAAATGTGTATATTACCGTAATATACGACATTTAATGAGACTCGGTGAGTATTGTTATTATTATTTTATCATTTCTAATAGGGCGTAAACTTGTGCAAGTGTCTGCTACCAATCTTCAATTTATTTTTTATTTATTCTATTTGTGGGGTGTATTTATCTTATTTATATGTTATGCATCGTGTTTTTTATATAATTTTGAAAATATATCATGGATGGATTAATGAAAATGTGTATATTAAAACGTAATATACGACATTTAAATGACTCGATGATTATTATTATCATTACTAATATGACGTCTGGAGACATAAGACACTTACCAATTTTAATGTGTACCTGCTTTGCCAGCACAGTATGAAAGTTTATTTAGGTACAGGTATACATAAGTATAATTATCAGAGTATATATAAAATATGAAATAACTTTCAAAAACATTTGAAATTTTGGAGTTTCCAGACAAAATGGAGAGACTTAGTGCTTACTGAGCTCATGGAGAATGTAAACAAACAGGGTGGGGCACGGTGACCGTATTAGAAAGTCAGGTGGGGGGAGCCGTATAGCGAGTTTTCGTCATAATTTGAAATGTCCGTATTAGCGGAACGCCGTAAAGTGAAACGCCGTAAAGCGGGGCCTTCCTGTACCTCCCTCTCCCCATCTACTAACTCCCCTACTCTGTTTTTAACGGACAAATCCATACTTTTCCTAGGCTTTCTTAACTTGTTTAACAAAAAAAAATGATCAAAGTTTTTTTTACATATTTTCAACTGTAAAAAAACAAAAAGTAGATCTACTTTTTTTATACTTTCAAATGTTGAAAAAACGTATATATACGTTTGGACCGTTTACGGGTTAAATTTGGCAGTTTGGAGGGATATGTTGTGTATCTTTATACGTATATGCTTCTAAACTGTTGTATTCTGAGCACCTCTGCAAAAGCAGTGATAATGTGTGAGTGTGGTGAAAGTGTTGAATGATGATGAAAGTATTTTCTTTTTGGGGATTTTCTTTCTTTTTTGGGTCACCCTGCCTCGGTGGGAGACGACCAACTAGTTGAAGAAAAAAAAAAAATATTCCCTCTTTTCCTGCCATAACTTATCCTTCAACATTATTGCTAGTCCTTTAGCTCTAACTCTATTTGAAACCCCTGACCTAATCCCATTTATTTCTTCCCATTGAAACTCTCCCACCCCACTTTGGAGTTTGTTCAATTTAAGTATGAAAGAAGAGAAGGGGCCTAAGAATTGGCAGAGCACTCATAGTTCCCATATATAAAGAAAAAGTGAACAAGAGGAGAGTACAAAATAAGGGAAAATAAGTCTTTAAAGTTTTCTGGGTAGTGTATGGCAAAATTATTATTGAAAGTTAGGGGTAAAACAGGACTTGGTATTAGAGGAACCAAGATTTAGGAAGGGCAGGGGATGTGTAGACCAAAGCGTTTACAATGAAGCATACAAGCGAACAATACCCTTTCCTTAGAGATGCACGAGTCATCATGGTTATTTAACGTTTTTTACAGATGGGGCTGGGGAAGGTATGAGAGTAAACCATAATGAATCTGATAAAAAGTGGGAGTTGTCACAGTTGCTCTCTGCCAATGATACAGTTCTTTTGGGAGATTCTGAAGAGAAATTTTGATGGTTGGTACAAGAATCTGAGAAGGTATGCAAAAGGGAATTAAAAGTGATCATGGAAAAGAACAATAAAAGACTGGATATCACATAGGGGAGGGGAATATGAAGGAACTGAATGTATTCAGATGTTTAGGAGAAGACATTATGGCAGATGGGTCTATGAAAGACAAAGTGAATGATACAACAGATGAGAAAAAAAATAGATGGTGCATTAAAAACCCTGTAGAAAGTTTATCTGAGAAGACAAAAAGGAAAATGCACCGGAGTATAGAGGTACCAACATTTACCTCAGTGAGGCATGGCTACAGGCAGTAGAAATGTCATGTTTGAAAGCAATCTATGGAGTAAATATTAAGGGAATTTGAATAATGAACATCAGAAGACAGTGTGGAGTTACCAAAAGAATAATTCAGAGGACTGAAGGGAAGTTCTTGAAGCAGTCTGGGCATTTAGGGGAACAAGGTGCCTAAAAGGGAACATAAATCTGTGGTGAAAGGAAGGAGAAACAGGAGTCATCCAAGGAAAAGCGGGAGGGAATAAAAATGGTTTTTAGTGCTAAGAACTTGAACATCCGACAGGCTTGTGCAAATATATTAGATCTGAGAATAGACAAGTGGTTCTAAATTCTCGAATATGCTGTTGGAATGATCACAGTAACATTTATGAAGGCATTCGGGGAAACCAATAAGCTGGACTCTAGTCCTGGAGGAAAGTGCAGTATCTACACTGAGATGTCATAGTTCAGAGGGTCATATGAACCATGATATCAGCACACTTCTGGCTTGATAAAGACTGAATAAATGAAGGTGAACGTGTTTCCTTTTTTTATGTTACCGTAGCTACAGAAGGTGAGAGATGGCTTGTATGCTAAACATATTATGAATGGATACAGATACATTATAGAAAGAAAGCCTTATAGCCAGTGGACATTAGCTTAAAATTCACCTGTGATTTCTTCGCACTTTCTACATTATCTGCTAGCTTTTGTTTCTTTTCTACATAGTCATCAAGTGCCTCCATTCGACTGAACGCCCGTTCGTGAATTTTGGCAAAATTGGGTACCTTCAACTTTCGCACATAAGACAAAAATCGAGGAATGTTGGAGCTACCATCTTTAGACCCTGCAAAGATAGAATTCTTTTAATCAGTTAAATATTACATCTTGAATAGTTTAATAAATAACACATCTATCACATACAGTTCTATACTGTGTAATTCAAAAGTATAAATATTAAAAGCTGGTGATACTTCACATTCATTTTGCAGTATGCAAATAAAACACATTACAGTGAAACCCCGTGTTTCGACCGCCCTAGGAATTGGCTGCTTCAGCTTTTGCCCACTTTTTTCGGCCAAATTTTGTCCCACGTTTCGACCGTTGCCCCAGGTTTTGGCCGGCGTACCAGACCTGTCCACCTGCCCGCGCAGGCGTCGTGAGCCAGTCTAGCATTGTTTATCCTTGAGTGAACATTACCCTGCGCTCTCATCCTGTCAGCCAGGCAGCCATCCAGCCAGGCAGCCATCCAGCCAGCAATCCAGCCAGGCAGCCAACCAGCAATCCAGCCAGGCAGCCAGCCATCCAGCTAGCCAGCCAGCCAGCCAGGCAGACAGCCAGCCATCCACCTAGGCAGGCAGCCAACCAGCCATTCAACTAGCCAGGCAGGCAGGCGGGAGGGTGGGCGGGCAGCCATCCATCCAGCCATTAATTGTGACTGAAATAAGCCACCATGGGCCCTGTGGTTAAGAAAGTGAGGAACGCCATAGCAGTGAAGATGATAATTGAAAAATACGAGAGAGGCATTTGTGTGGGGGAGCTTGCCAGGACGTATGGCAAAAACAAATCAGTTATCACTTCTATCCTGGCGAAGAGAAAAGAATTCAAGGAAGCTGATGGTTCGAAAGGTGTTGTCATGTTATCCAAAAATAGACCACAAACAGTCGAAGAGGTTGAGAAGTTGTTGGTGGTGTGAATCAACAATAAACAGATAGCGGGTGATAGTGTTTCAGAGTCGATCATTTGTGAGAAGGCAAGACAGCTGCATGCCGATCTGATAAAGAAAATGCATGGAACCAGTGCTGATGTTAGTGAATTTAAGGCCAGCAGAGGCTGGTTTGACAGATTTAAGAAGCGTAGTAGCATACACAGTGTGGTAAGGCATAGGGAGGCAACAAGCTCAGACAAACGTGCTGCTGAAAACTTCGAGTGAATTTACGAGGTACGTAGAGACTGAAAAATTCAAACCCCAACAAGTGTTCAGTTGTGACGAACCAGGTCTGTTTTGGAAGAAAATGCCAAAGAGGACCTACATTACTCAGGACGAAAAGGCACTTCCAGGATACAAGCCTATGAAAGACAAGCTCACTCTTTTGTTCTGTGCTAATGCTAGTGGGGATTTTAAAGTGAAGCCTTTACTTGTGTATTACTCAGAAAATCCCAATAAATTGAAGAAAAACAATGACATCAAGAATAAATTGTCTTGTGGAAAGCGAATAATAAGGCACAGGTCACAAGGCATATTTTCAAAGAGTGGGTCCATGAAGTGTTTGGCCTCAGTGTGAAAAAAACACTTCTTGGAAAATAATTTGCCACTCAAGTGCCCCCTGGTAATGGACAATGCTCCTGCTCATCCTCCAAACTAGGAAGACCTATTGTCTAGGGACTTTAATTTTATAACAGTTAAGGTCTTGCCTCCTAACACCACTCCTCTCCTCCACTCCATGGACCAGCAGGTTATTTCTAACTTCAAAAAACTCTACACCAAAGCAGTGTTTGAAAGGGGCTTTGAAGTGATCTCAGACACTCAGTTCACCCTAAGGGTTCTGGAGGAAGCACTTCAGTATCCTCCATTGCATAAGACTTATAGGTAAGGCTTGGAAGGGGGTAACTTCCAGGACTTTGAACTCTGCTTGGGGACAACTGTGGCCACAATGTGTTGTCCAGAGGAATTTTGAAGGGCTTGAGGTTGACCCAGACCCTGCCGACCCTCTGCCTGTTGTGGAAAGGTATTGTGGCATTGGGCAAGTCCATGGGGCTGGAGGTGAGTGGAGAAGATGTGGAAGAGTTCGAGGAGGACCATAGGGAAGAGCTAACCACTGACGAACTGCAAGAGCTTCAACTGCAACAGCATCAGACCACAGCTCAGGAATTTGCTTCACAGGAGGAGAAGATGGAGTGAAGGAGGTTTCTTCTTCAGAGATTAAAGAGGTGTGTGCAATGTGGACTAGGGTGCAAGCCTTTGTAGAGAAACACCACCCTGACCAAGTTGAAACAAGCCATATCTGCAACATGGTCAGTGACAAAACCTTGTCCCACTTCAGGGAAATCTTAGAGATGACAGAAACAGAGCACTCTTGACAGTTATTTTGTGAGACAGAGGGTCAAGTGACTTTCAAGCTGGTCCTAGTGATGCCAGCAAGTCTCTTCAAGAAAGGTAAGTAAATGTTATTTTAAATGTTTTTTTAAATTTTAATTTATCTACATATAATATATAGGTATTTATCGTGTTGTATGTAAAACTTGTTATTTAAAAAATTTATTTTTTGTGAACATTTTTGTGGGTCTGCAACAGATTAATTTTATTTACATTATTTCTTATGGGAAATATTGCTTAGCCTTTCGACCGCTTCGCGTATAGGCCTAGCTCCTGGAACGGATTACGGCCGAAGCCCAGGATTTCACTGTATAGAGAAGATATTATTTCAGTGTAAATTAAACATGACAAAATAAAGTTAACACCAGGGAGATCCTCTCCTCAATTTCAAATGGAAGCTATTTTATGAACTTAAATTAGTTTCAGTAAAATATCCCCACTTGTTAAAAATGCATTACTGGCAGTAAAAGACAGAGCTACAAACAGGCAAATTACTAAATATTTCCTACATAAATGTGTGCTCATCAGTAATTTCTAATTATACACTTACCCTCCTTTCTGTCATATGGAAGATCATCTCTTCCAATTGTAAATGTTGGTTTAGTAATTTCTGAACCTTCCAAGAGCTTGGTTTTGTTTTTTGGAGTATTAATCTGGTGATTTCCTCCATTTTGGGACTTTCGTGTTGAAGATGGTGTAGCTGTCTTAACCAATCTGTTTTGCTTAACAACGCTGAATGTAGAGGAAAAATAAGATTAATACTAAATAATAGGGTACATATCAGTACAATCAGCTTATTCATAGTTGGATAAGTAATAGTATGAGATACCACCACAATGAGGAAACAAATGCAATTATATGGAACTTTAGTGCTGTTTCTCCTATACAGTGCACTTTATCAAATCATAAAGGGCGGGTTGTGACAGGCACCGTACTTTCCCCTTCAGGATTCAAGTCTAGCTAACCAGTTTCCCTGAACCCCTTCATGAATCAAACATGTATATCTAATAAAGATCCAGATAATTCCTAACAAGAAATTAAGCAAGATAAAAAAAACAGCAGAGCTTGTTTTTAAGCCAAGGGGAAAAAGTAATCACCTTTTAACCTTTTTGGGGGAATTAGTTTTTTAAAAATTAATTTGGAAATGTATGGTATGAGGGTACCTTGAAAAAGAAAAAAAACACGAAGGGTTAAAAAAAGGGGTATATTTTAACGTTTTACAATTTTTAAATTTGGTTAAAACCCCCTCAGAACGTAAAAAAAAAAAACCCCCATTTTGTAACATAAAGGGAAAGGAAATGACCTATTAAAAAGGGGTGTCCAGTTTTTTTTTTTAAATTTTAAAATTTTGGGTGAAATTTATTATTTTTTTTATTATTTAAAAAAAATTAAAATCAGGGAAAAAATAATTTAAAATGTGAAACAAGTTATACAAAAATTTTAAAATATTAAGGAAAAGGGCATTAAAAAAAAACTCCGGGTTTCCCCATAACTCGGTCAGGCAAAAATTTTAATTTTCCGAAAATTCTTACAAAATTTTGGGTAAACTTTTATTATAATTTTTTTAAAAAAATTTTTTAAATTAATTTTCAAAAAAATATTTTTGTGTTCCAAATGTTTTTTTAAAATTTTTTGAAAAAAAAATTTTTTTAATTAAGGGAAATGTCCTAAAAAGTAACCCCCTTTAAAAAAACCTTTTTTTTTTTTTTTTTTATCTGGTGGGGGGGGGGGGGGGGGGGGGGGAAAAAGGGGGGGGGGGGGGGGGGGGGGGGGGGGGGGGGGGGGGGGGGGGGGGGGGGGGGGGGGGGGGTATGTTCAGGTCCCAGAAACTGACCAAAATTTTTTTCCCCAAGGGAAATTTTGGGTGAAGTAGATTATAAATTTTCAAGCCCCCCAAAAAATACACGTAAAAAAACGCACTTACTAAATACACTTACAAAATTTGGGTTGCATTTGGGGGTGATCTTATGCGGGGTCCACTGTTTTAAAAGGGTAATTTTCAAATTTTAATGCGCCCAAGAGTTTATCTTTTTTTTTTTTTTTTTAAACAAGTCGGTCGTTTCCCCCAAACCGAGGCAGGGGGGACCCAAAAAAAAAAAGAAGAAAATCCCAAAAAAAAAAATCCCTTTAAATTCATCATTCAACACTTTACCACACCACACATTACACTGCTTTTGCAGAGGTGCTCAAAGAACGTTTAAAAGGCAATACGCAAAGATACACAACATATCCCTCCAAACTGCCAATTTTCCAAAACCCCCCCTTTAAAAATGCAGCTTTGGGAAACTTCCCATTTCCGGATTAAATTTTCCCGCTATTTTAAAAAATTTAAAGGGGTTCCCCCTGAATCCCTTCACTAAAAAATTCCCCCGCCCCCACACCCCAACGACCCGTCAGGGCCCAAAGTTTTCTCTCCATTCACTCCATCTAACACGCTCATGCACGCTTGCTGGAAGTCCAAGCCCCTCACCCACAAAACCTCCCTTTAACCCCCCTTTTTCCCAAACCCCTTTTCGAGGACGACCCCTACCCCTCTTTCCCCCCCAAAAATTTTTTATATGTTTCCATGTCTTTTTCTACTTTGTTTCCTTCTCTCAAAATGACCAAACCACCTCAACAACCCCTTTTTGGGCCCCTGACAAATTTGTTTTATTACCCCCCACACCTTCCCAAATTTCCACAGTCCAAAATTTTTTGCAAAATTTTTACACCAACATTCCCCTTGGGACGAAATCCCCACGCCCCCAACCGTCTCCTCGCTGTTTGCTTTTAAACCCACCCAAGTTTTCCATCCATAAAAAGGGAGTTTTGGGAAACTATATTTTCATACATTCCCTTCTTTCCCTCCATGAAAACGTTTTTTGACTCCACTTTACCTCAACGCCCCCACTCCCCCTTTTTTCCCTCATCAATTCAAAATTTTAAAACCTCTCCTTTTTAAATCCACCCCGCCGACACCCCAACCCCCAAGTTTCTGAAAACATTCACTTCTTCCATACTCCTCCCCCCAATTTGTTACCCAAATTTTTTCTTTATCTAAATAATTTAAATCCCCTCACACCTTACCTTTTCTAGGTTCACTTTCAACTTTCCCCTTTAACACACATTCTAAAACCTTCCAAAAACCTTTGCAATTTTTCTTTAAAAATCCCCATAAGCACAGAAATCATCAGAAAAAAGAAACTGTGTCAATTCCCATTTTAAAATTTGTTCCCCCCAAAATTTAAAATCCCCCCCCTTTCTCCCAAAAACCCCCTTTAGCATTTACTTCTTTTCAACCCCAACAATAAAAATTTTAAAAAAACCATGGGGGACATTAAAAACCCCCTTTGTCAAAGGGCCCTTTACTTTAACCAAAAAGTTTTCTCCCTCTCTTTTAACAAACCCCAAAACCTGAGCCTACCTATCCCATAAAAGCCCCTTTACAGCATTTAGAAACTTACCCCCTTTTCCTTTATACTTGCAAATCTGCCACTTTGCTCCCTATCCCTCTATATATCCCTTTTTTCTAAATCCATAAAATGCAATAAAAACTTCCCTCCCTTTTACCCTAAATACTGTTCACATATATGCTTAAATGAAACCTTGATCTACAATCCCCTACCCATTTCTAAAGGGCCCCCTTGCTCGCCCGCAATTTCCCTTTCTGTCTTACCTCAAAATTCTTTAAATTAAAACCCCAAACCGTAATTTTTTCCCCTGGTATCTCTAAACTTATTCCTTTTAAAAAATTTTTAAAATCTCTTTTGCCCCCTTTTTCCCTTTATATAAAGGGGACAAACATGTTCTCCCCCCCAAAAATCCTTGGGTCCCTTTCCCCCTCTTTCATCCATTTTTAAAAAAAAGTCCCCAACCCCACTCCAACACTATACCCCCCCCTGCTTTTAATATTTCTGTCTTTGACCCCATCATTCCAGCTGTTTTAAAAACCCCCTTTCTTTTACTAATCCTCACGTCCCCCCCACCCCCTTCATTCTCTCTTCTTCACTCCTAAAATTTGGTATACCCCCTGGCCAGTGTTAAAATTTCCCCCCCGCTCCCTTTTTTCCTTAACATTTAAAGTTCCTCAAAATATTCTCGCCTTTCTACCTAATACCCCCCCTCTCCCCATCTACTAACCCCCCTACTCTTTTTTTAAACTGAAAAATCCATTTTTTCCTGGGGCATTCTTAACTTTTTTTAACCACTCCAAAATTTTTTTTTAAATTTTCATTAAAATTTCTTGCCCTTCCCCTCCCCCCTCTTTCATCTGCTCTCCTTTTGCACTCTCTCACCCACCTCTTAAACCTTTTTTTTTTACTCCCATATACTCTGCTTTTTCTTTTTAACACTTTGCTTTGAAAAAAACCTCTCGTAAGCTACCTTTTTCCCTTTTACCCACACCCTTTACTTCATCATTCCCCCAAATCACTCCTCTTTCCTTCCCCCCCCACCCTCCTAAAAACCCCCAACTTCTGCCCCACATTCTAATACTGCTTTTTTTAAAATTTTCCCAAACCCCTTTTTAAAACCCCCCCCCATTTACCCCAATCTTTGAAACTACCCATTTTTTCTCCCAATAGGCGTTTTTTCTCCCCCGGGAACTTCCTCCCCCCTTTATTTTTAAAACACATTCACCCCCCCTTTACTTGTTGTTGCCACCTTCCTTTTTTCCCCATCTCCCCTCTTACTCAAAACTGTAGCTACAACTAAATAATGATCCGATAAAATCTTGCCCCTCTAAAACAGACATCCGGGGACCCAAACCCAAAACCCTTTCCCATCCCCCAAATAAAAATCTAAAAAACTACTTCTTTTTCTGCTAAAATTAAATTCCCTTGTTTATTTATTTATCCTCTTTTTCAAAAAAATTGTATTACTTATTCCCAAAATTTTTTTCTACCATAGCTCAATTAAAGGCTCCCCATTTACATTTACCCCGGGCCCCCCAAAATTTTACCTACTATTTCCCCCCCTTAAAATTTTTTTAACCCATTTTACCCATTGAAACCCCCAACCACCTTTTCCCCTTCACACTTGTTTAAAAAATCCCCACGCATTCACTCAACATTTCCCAGAATCTTTTCTCTCCTCTACACTTCTCTCTTTCCAGGTGCTTTACACGCTTACTAAAAACCCACTTTTCACCCCCAATCTTTATTTTACCCCACAAAATCCTTGAATTTAAAATTTTGTAGTCCCTTTTTTTCCTTTTAATTATTTTATTATTTTTTTTAAATTTTTAAATTTAATTATTATTTTTTTATTGCTCAAGAGTAAGAGAAATTATTGTTTTTAAGTGTCCCCTACATCCCAACCACAGTGTGTAAGTTTTTTTTAGGTACAGGGGGGACACAATTTTTAATTATAAAGTACAATACATATAAAAATATAAAATTTTAAAAAACACTTAAAATTTTTGGAAAGTTTCCAAAACAGAATAAGGAGATGGGGGTCAGGGAGAATGTAAAAAACTGGGTGGGCAGTTTGTGACCGTATTAGAAAGACAGGGGGGGGGAGCCGTATGGGTGATTTTGGTCAAAATTTAAAAATGTCCGTATTAGGGGAAAAACGCCGTAAAGCAAAACCGCCGAAAAAGGGGGGCCCCCTGCTGTATCTGTTTAAATACTATCTCTACATAAGGGGGCTAATTTTAAAAACTATTTGCCCCCCAAATCTTTCTTATGCTGTCCCTTGAAAGAATTTAACCTGGCAACTAAAGGGAACAGTTTTTTATTTTTGGATCACTGCCC